ATAGAACCGACTACAATTCTTCAATAGGTCGAGCTTCTATTCAATTCAATAAAATAGTAATTGCGTAGATTAACAATAAGTAGCAATTAATTAATAGGATTCAATTGAATTCCTCCAAAGTCCAGCCCGTAGTTAGGCTTATCTTATACGGAGCGTTTTTCTTTATACATTTCCATGAAACGACAATTAATAGTTTTTATTATAACATATTTTTACCCAAAACTTCGTAGCAATTAATTATCGCCTATATTGATGAAATATTATTACAACATACTGACTAAAAGGATGTTTCTGCGTAAAGAAAGGGACAATTTTCTAATTTACGACCGTGAGAATATTCAGGTAACGCTCAAGCGTCTCCAGTTAACAAGGACCTATTAGTTGGATAGCAAAGATTCTGAAGCAGTCAATGTAATTTCCTTATATCAGTTTTAAAATTCCCTTTTCTTCTTCTTACTTTTTGAAGCGTGAATTTTGTGCTGCATTAGGAAAACAAAATGTTTCTGTTATGTATTATTTACATTCGATATGATTCAATGAAAATATTGGAAAATTTCACTTTTTAATGACGGCATTAGACAAAAAAAAACGGAAAAGAAGAAGACGAAGAAAAAAAAAACGGTAAAATAACAAAGAAAGATGACTACGCCTAAAAGCCAAAAATGCAAGTACATCCACAATAACGTACGTTAGGTACATGAAATTGAACAAAAAAAAAGAAAACATAGGCTGTCAGCTGGTTCGAGTACGAAAAGATCGAAAAACGGATTCGGCAACGACAGTAAAATTTTCAAAATGAAGAAGAAAAAAGTTGAATAGAAATGTATGGATGAATGCGAATAAATCTTTTAAAAGCTATGAGCAAATATTGTTACCCACTGTCTGCTAGTGATCTTTAATGCATAACTATATCTATTGCTGTTTAATAAATGAGTAAATATTTTTAGTTGGCTGAAAAAGTGAAGCAAAGGAAAACTTTTCTTTGCCAAATACTCGTAGTAGTAATCTCATGCTGTTTAAATTTCCAATACATTTACACATACATGCATGCATATAAAACAGTTTTGCAGACTTTGCCGTCGACCTTTTGATGCACTGTCGGTTTGAATTATTTTCATGTGCAGCAACTGTTTGGAGTGTGTTGAGCTTCTTTTAATGTATTTTTGTTTAGTTTGTTTGTATACAATCTTATGTACTTTGGTGTTTAGGCAAAGTTGCTTTGGTGGCATAATTGGCAATAACAAAAAAAGAAAAAAAAAAGAAAAAAAAAAAAAAAACTAGACGTCAGACAGGAAAACTAAACACAACATATTGCAACACGAAATCATCATCATTATCGTCATCATTACTAAATACATATCTCCGCCAACAAAACTCGTTTCTTTTTATTTTTATTTTCTTTTTTGTCCCCCGTATAAACTACGTTACATACATGCATACATATCATTCGGATAATGAAATGGTGAAGATAGTGTGTGTACGGTGTCATCCGTACTATTATTATTTGTATTTTCTCTAAGCAGGCACTTTGCGCCCAATTTCGATTGCAATTGCAGTCTTTTTGATGATTTTTGGCTGTAACAAGTTTTGCTTCTCATCACATTAACCAAAACAATTTTTGTTTGCTTCTGCTTTCTTTAATGTGACCGTTTGATATTTCGAATTCATTTAGTGAATAAAAAGGGCATAAATACATTATACATATGTACATTTATTTGTCTTTAAAACATGTATGTTCACCTAAGAGATTATTAAATGTCAAGAAATTATTTTATTATTATTGAATTTATGTTACATTAAAATTAATTCATTCATTCCCTTATAAATAAAATTAAATTAATTTTTATTGCTTTTGGTTATTTATTCTTTCATCATTTCTTTATTGTTTCCCTGAAGTGTTTAAATCAATTGAAATTTGATAGCAATTACAAATTGATTTCTTTTACAACATTTTCAAGTCAATAAATATTGTTTTATAAAGGAATTGCACTTGACTTGATCTTAAGTTTATAAAAATTTATATTTAATATAGATTGTGATTTCACTAAAGTACGAGATTTTATCCTTATTACATGTTCAAAAATGCACATCAACTCAAGACTGGGGGAAGCCATTAAAACCTTTCGAAATAAAGAATTTTAATGTCATAATAAAAATACTCTCAATTTAATTCCGAAAATATAATTTTCTTCGAAGAGTCTCATTATCCGTGATTTGTGATGTGTCCCTGCAATTGAAATTCATAAACCGTTGATTGGTCTAAAATTTAAAGGTCTAAAAGATCAGCGTAGAACCGTCATCATTCAGTACAGTCATACGCCCATTAATTGTTAAGGCACTTTCTTTTACTCTTTGTGTATAAACTTCTTACTTATAACAAAATTTTTCCATATTTTCGGTCATTGCTGGCAGGGATGTATTAGTTAAATATCTATTTGAAATTTGAGGATTTCGTGGGATTAACAAACGCCATTATAAACGACGAACAGCTGAACACAGTCTAAAAGACAAATAGGCTGGCAGACTAAGATTAACCCAATCATGATAACATTGTCCGAATGAGGGAATAATTGAAAAACTAATAGATTGACTAACCACTCGATTAACATTGACAGATAGAAAAATTTCCTGTTATCTGTATGTTATTGACAAAGACAGTTGCTGCTAAATTGGAACGTAATTCGTAGACTTTCTTTATCACACAAAGAACTACAGTCTCTGTTTTGTGATTTTCTCGAAGCTGGTGGAAGGGAAATTCACTTAGTATTCGATCCAAACATGATGGGTTTTCAATATTTCATTGGGAGTAGAACTTATATGAACGTTCATGTACAGCTTTATTTATTAATTTTTTTTTTTTCGCTGTGGCAAATTTTTCTTAGCTTGTTAGGATAGTTTTTTGCATTTTAAAGGAAAACTGTTATAAAACTGGCTCGATTAAATAGCAATTGTTTGCTTATTAAGGTTAGTTTTAAGTATTCAAACCGTAAGTGAGTAGGAAAACTTGCTCACACGCAGACTTGTGTGCAAGTTTGTAAATGTTTGTGTATAAAAACAACAAACAAATACATGGACTGCAAAGCTATCTCATGTAGAAGGCGAAGGTGACATGAGATCGCATCTTCCTTGCTATGGCGAGTCTTTGTCCGCATACTAAAATATCATATAAATTTATTTATATACACTTACTTACATATTTTCTTCTTTTTTTTTATTTTTTTTTTTTTTAATCACAAAAAAAGGTGAAAGACTTGTTAAATCTCTTCGGTACGTGATATCAGTAAATACATAGCAAAACACGATGAACATCATTAAGTTTAAAAAAAAAAAAAAAAATGTTATAATACATAATATGTAATATGTACAAAGAATTACATATGAAATGATGTAAAACCAGTTTTATTTTTTTAAACAACACCTAATTATAATTAAGAAACCAACTATCTTAATCAGTAACTGTAATAAACAAGAAAATAAATTTTACCAATAATTTCATTACCGAATAGTAATTTTTAAGGTAATTTTCAATTTTCCTTTGCTTTCTTTCGTCTAATGAATGAATATTAACTACAACCCACCGTTAATTAACTTGCTTTATCCTACAGTTATTCATATAGCGGTTTTTCAAAGTAAGGTGAAGAATAGGTCCGATTTTATGCATATCCAATAGCCTTCATCCTTGGGCCAAACACGTCAGTGCGCCAAATTTTATCAAAATAGCGAAAAGAATTGCTGTCTAGATTTGGTTTGAATCGAAGAGAACAAAGCGGATGGACAGATGCAGGCTTACATGGATTCAGAAATTTATTTTGAATCTTCTGAGAGCCTGTCTGCCTGTCTGTATATCCGCCTTGTTTTCTTGTGTTTCAGAGGGACAGGCTTTTAGATCGATTCAGAAATTTATTCTGGACGCCCTATGCCTGTCCGCCTTATTCATAATCAATTTCTGAATCGATCGATATAGTAAAAGGTGGGGACATCTCAAGTCCTTCTGGGTACATGCGCACAAACTTAACTTATTCGTGCAACCACAAGTGGTGTAGGATGTAATAATACTTAAAGAAGCTTATGAAGAAAATATGAACAAATAATTTAAAGGGCTGTTGAGAAAGCGATGTATTTTTGAAGATGAATAAAATTGTCAAAACTAAGAATTAAGGAAAAATAATTGTTTTGCAAAATAGTTTTTGTTTTCCATTTTTTTATTCAAAATCAACTTCTCACGCATCAATACACCCTCTTACAAGTTCAACTAATATTAGCATTCATTTCGTTAATGTCAATTGTAGAGTCGATTTTTAAATCTCGAATATTTCCGATATGCAATATTTAAGGCGCTTATCCAAATAACCTGATATTGCGATAACAGCCCTAACAGTTTGGTATAAATATGGATATTGAAATTTAATTTCTAGCAACGTTTTTATCCGGCACAATTTTTGTAGGAGGATAGGCTGCATCTATTCGGCCAATAGATACTGTGTTAATGAAATTTATTTATTGAATCTTTAAAGTGCATTACAAGGTGTTGCACACGAAATGATAAAGTCAATGCATGTCATTGTCGTGCATATGCTATAACAAACGACTTACCTACAATCACTTCCCCCGCACTATTACTGCAGCCACCCTCCTAAGACATTATAAATTTCGGCAATCATAATTTCAGTTTAAGTTTCATTCACGCTTGTCTTCTTCATCAACGACCAACCACAAAAGCAATAACTTGAGTACTTGAGCATAGCATCTTCGCTCGTTTTGCTTATCATGTGCCGGACTCATTTTGCTTATAACCAAGTTTAGCAACATGTTCCCGTAGTTATGTTAATGTTTTGAACGAATATTTTTACAATAGCTTGTAGCAGCAGTAGCTCTTCTTCACTGAAATTTCTTTTCAACTTTCTGCATTAGTGTGAATTGTCTGTTTTTGGCGCATTTCAAGAAAGTACTTATGCGCACTCTCAGTGTATAGTCAATGTTCAATCAGTAGAGTTGTCTTAAGCGGTAGCAATTAAAGGGAAACTAATCTCTTCTTCTTTAAATATAATTCAACGCTTGATTCGATTGGTGCATAAAAAAAAAAAAAAAAAAAAAAAAAAAAAATAAAAGAAAAAAAATATAAAAATAAAATAATATTTTAAATAAATCTCAAAAAAAAAAAAAAAAAAATGAACTAACTCTTCATTTTAACGTTTTGATGAAAGATATTTTTTTTCAAATATTTTCTAAAACTCGATGCTTATATGTTCTGCATCTTTCTTACATAAATTTTTCTTTAACTTATAGATATATATACATACATATATACACAGATTAACTAAAACTGGATTAATACATTCATTTGGATATATAATCAAAAAAAAAAAAAAGATGCTTTGGGTAAGTTTCTAAAAAAAAAAAAAAAAAAACACCAACGTTGATTGAGAGAAAATTTTGATTTCTTACCAAGTTAATGAAATAAATAAAAATATAAATTAAAAAAAGTAAAAAAAGATGGAAAAATACGATAAAATATCGAAGATTAAAATGCAATACATTACGTATCGCTCAATTAGAATGTAGCTCGCATGGGCGGACGGGAGCGTCCAAACTTTGCTCGGAAGCCCTCGAACACATACGGTTGCAAGGATTAGAAACTCATGAGCGACGAAAATGTATCAAAAATTTTCAATATCCTTCGGCTATGTTGTGCTTATGTATATGACACTTACGCCTTCCTCCATGGCAAAGCAAGAATTTTGGGAATCCTTTACAAATTTACCAATCATACATCTTTTCTTTGCTTTTCGGGGATGACTACGACCAGTACAATATCAATTTTCGTGCGATGCATTCTGCAACACATACGCCAGGGGTTTGATAAGGAGAAGGCGCTTTCTAAATCTCCCTCTTCTACTACTTCTCCTACTCGGGAGAAATGAAAAGGCTACTATGGCGCAGCTTGTAAAGCGAACTATTTTCAATTTTACACATTCTACATAACTAAGCCTAAAAACATCTATACGCGCTCAAAATAAGTAATAGGTCTGTATTCCACTAACTTTGTTTGAGATCCGTTATATGGGCTACTTTCAAGATAGAAGATTGAATTACTTTCGTCTTTCTCGTACCAATGTTCCTGTAGATATGAGTTCAGCTTCCCAATCTCGGCCGTCACAGAACTCCGGATAGTTAAGTAGCTCGTTAGCCTGTATTTAGATTACTTTTCCAATAAAGAATTAATAATATTACTGAGATACTTGACCAGTACGGACAAAAAAAAATTTATTTAGTTATGGTCAACAAAATTCGCTTTTCAACTCTTCATTTTCATCAGTGGAGTCGTCAAAGTCGAACATAATTTAAATGTTTTCATAGAACCAATCGGTTCATCTAATTGCTTGGATAGTTTGCGCAGTAAATCTCTTCGATAGATCTTTATTCAAATCTTAATGCATGAACTTGGTTCCATCTTAGTCGGTAAAGGCATAACCCTCGCGATTCGAGAGGACCCATTTGTCTGCGGCCTCTGCCTGCCTCTTTCAGTTCCCTCATTTTTTTCTGACCGCCACCGGAGTGAGTACGGTATGGGCGGCGTTCCCTGAGTTATTATTTAAAAAAAAAAAGTATTTTTATCTTTTGGTTTAAAAATTAAATTTTTCCATGAGAAATTATTTTTTTGTTGGTTGCAATAGATTTGTGCCGCACTGCGCGGCATTTCGCTAAACGAGCCCTTCTTCAAAATTTGCAGAACTTTTAATTCTTTCATTAATTTTATCATTATAAACCTTAGTTTTCAAAAACTTCTACGAGGTTACGTAACCTGTGCCCGTGCACAAGTTCCAAATTATAAATATTTATTTAATCGATGAACTGAAAAACCTAAGATCCCTAATCACTGATGTAGCGAAATGGCCTTTCATTGTAAATGAAGATGAAAAAAATACTTTTGTGTGTAAAAACGTATGCATATGCATGAAGGGGCGTTCGTTGTTTGTGTCTACTGAAAAAAAAAGGAACGATTTTATAGGATGCTATAACAACTACAAGGTTCGCTTTTTGCAAATAAAAAAAATTTCATTTATTCAACAGTAAAAATTAAATTTCGGGTGCAAAATTGCCAATATTTACTCGCTTACTTATCAATATTATTATTACTATTTATTCAATTGCAAAAATTCATAATTTAAACATTTTTATTCATCCTCATGCACATATATGCACACAAGCTGTAATGTCTGTGTAAAGCAAGATGAACTTTCCGGTATTCGATTTCATCGACATTTTTCTATTCCAACTGTTAAAAACTTAAATAAATAAATTCTTCGTATTCGGGAAGCTTTGATTTCCTTTCATCGTAAAGCATACAATAACATAGCATAAATATTTTTCTCGCTAGCGGGTACAGTGCAACAGACTGAAATGAACCTTAAAAAATCTGCAAGAAATTCTTTGAAATTTACGGTTGAGTCCCAAAGCGAATATTTTTTTTATTCATTTTTCTTTTTTTTTTTTGTCGTTTCATCAGTCATTTGTAAAAAGTCAAGGCCTCTTTGTAAGTACTCAAAATAACGGTAGTATCAACAAATCAAAGTGTAGAAGGATTTTTTCAAATACCGGAGTTGACTGAATTGGATGTGACAGGGAATTTGCGATGCTATGCAGATCCGCTGGTTCGAGGTATGCAAGAACGCTTCGCATTTGCGTGGTAACGATTAATGTGTACTTACGTCGAAATAGCAATACTTCAGATAAACCTCACAGCATCATCATGTGAATGTTATGCGGTAATAAGTTCCTATTTTGAAAATTGAGTTCATCTGTCAGCCTTTGTCGGACGCTTAAACAAATTTAAGAAACATTATATTGTACCGTTCATTTTCAAATTTTTTCCATCAATCAATCGATTTACTTATCTAGTTGTTCTATCGATCGGTCATCTATTATTATATCATGCTCACTGAGGTAAGGTCGAGTTTTCAATGCAAATAATTTTTCAAATATTTTCACGCAAACGATAAAACGATAACATACTTGCGTGTCTCTTATATAATATATATGGAAGTGTGTAACCTTTTTTTTAATTTTTATTGTTTTTTATTTTTTTATTTAAATTTATTTGCAACTATGAAGTTTCGTTTTTTAATCCTTAAATGTTTGGCTCAATCATGAAAAGCTAAAGCCGCTACAGCTATGTCGGGGATGTACTTATACATACTCTCGAGAAAATATTTATTCCCAATCCATGTACAGTACACGTCTGATTTAACTCTTTGCTGGTTGTTGTTGGCTGTTGTATTTGACAGTTATGAAAAAATTCAAATAGACAGACAGAAGACTCTGAAAAATTGTTAGTTCTTGGACGCTGGAGGTAATGCAAAATATAATATTTTTCGTAACATTAACATAGATTTTGAAAATGAACCAGAAATTTTATGCAGATATGTGTTGCAACTGCACTGGCAGAATGAGTAAAACTTTCGGCATTAAGTGCCAAAAAAAAAAAAAAAAAAAATTTTTTTTTTAACCCTTCAATAAAAAAAAAATTAAAAAAAAAAAAAAATTTTTTTAAAAATTTTAAAAAAAAAAAAAAAAAAAAAAAAAAAACGCCTGTTCATACTTAAAAAACTTCAGCTCCTCATTTCCTGTTGATTTTTTTTTTTTTTGTTTTTTTATTATTGTATTATTGTTTATACTCACAAAGTGAATAATAATGCATATTATCATTTACTTAAGACCATTTCATTCCATTCCATTCAGGCACCTCTACGCATAAGTCTAGATGTATATTACGTGCATTTAAACATTAAATTGAAGTGAACATCTTGTCTAACCGAATATAAATTATTCATAATTATCATTATGCGAGAGATGTTTTTAAAGAGTGTTTTTAAAGCAAACATTCCCTTGGTTGTTTTAACCGGCACACACTATCTATTAATACGTAAAGAAAGATGCGTACGTTATATTATAAACGTGAGTGAAAATATTCAAATTTTCTCTAATGCTTTCCGTGCAATAATTGTAAACATATATGTATTAGTTTTTTCTTTTTTGTTTTTTTTGTTTTATGATTGTCAATAATGATCATATATGTGTACGCAAAAAGAAAAAAAAAAAAAAAAAAAAAACAACAACCAACTTGCACTATCTTCGATTATGTAAAGAGGAGGGTAAAAAGTGAAACTTGCAAATACCACTCTGTAGTCTTCATTTACACATCTGATAACTTTTGTTGGCTTAAAATATTTTGCGATGCGCAAAAGCTGACCAAAAACAAAAATATAAAAAAAAATCTCAACGAAATTGATATCCCAGCACTACAAAACGACGCAAATATAGTTGAAAGACAAGTATACAGTATACAGTATAGCTATATATATATATATATATAGTCCTTATAAAATTTATTACATTTATCTGGAAGGAAAGAAATGAAAATGTATTTCATGCCTTAGGTTGCATAATAAATAATACTGGTTCCTATTTAGGTCATGTGAAATAAGCCGTTTTGAAAATAATCAAATATATAAAACAATTACTATTTAACTCATTTAATTATTAATCATTAAAAAATAATAAATACTTTAAGCCTGGATGGATACTCTTCATGTTCCGCTTCTTCTTCCAAAATTCATTCAAGTTTATTGAAAATTTCTTTCTTTCTCTCATGTAAATGCAATTTAAAAAACTTAATATACATAGGAAGGCGAACAAAAAAAAAGTATTCGCGGAACTTTTTAAGACTTTTTAAGTGTACTCATCACGCATATTTTTTTTTCTTGCGTTTGATAAGCTCATTGCTAAAGTGTACAGTGGACCATCTTACAATGCGACAGCATTTAAATCTATACTATACGAGTTACTTGCTCTATACAATTACAATTTTTATGTTTTTTCTTCTTCTTTTTCTTCACAAAAAATTTATAAAAATCTATCAATACTTTTGCTTTTATCGACTTGATCCTTTTGTTCATTACTGAGACTAAAATATAGCATAAACCATAGCATTTGTCTCACTCTTTTACTGGGCTATGCGAGCCTCTTTTACGGTGTTATACGAACGCACACAAACATTTTTTGCACCGTGGTATACGGAATCCATTTTATTTTAACTAGTGTTGTGAGAGTGTGGGGTCTACTGTACTGTACGAACTTTGTACTCGAATTGAATGTTTAGATTGCTTATTCAAGAAGCTGCAAATCCTTCGGTGTTTTCAGGTTGTCCAAAAGACGCAGTCAAGTTTGAAATATTCTGCTGCCAGGTAGGTGCATGAGGTAGGTAAAGTTTACTTCCTCACAAAATTGACAAGTTTCCATACAAACTTATATCACGAAATTTTGAATTTTCGTCACAGTAATAACCATCGTATCACTGTTAAGGAGATCCTCGTTGATAA